GAGGAGGTTGAAGGTTCAGGCCGGTCCTGCAAATCAAATGTGTCCTCTCTTGTAACATTCGTCTCCTCCTCTTCATTGAAATCACTAAAACTTGCTGATTCATACAAGTCCTCCTCGCTGGAGCTTTCATTCAAAAAACCTGTAGCTGATGCCGGAATCACAACAGATACCCAACTGGAATCTTAGTTATCGAGGGCAAAGGTTTCAATATCACTTGCTCCCCAGCTTCTCCTCTCCTCTAAGAGGTTTATTTAGTCATTTCTGTCCACTTCTTGCAAAAGAAGAAATTTATCTTCTTCATTTTCTAAGGAAGATTCAGAAGCATGGCAGGTTGGGATCAAATGGAGTTCTCGACCTTTCCATAGCAGGCCTTGGTTGCTTATCTCTAGATTCTACACCTCTGTTAGCTATGAAATCCTTGGAGCTCTCTGGACTTGATTATTTATTTGCAGACATCTCATTACCCAACTAGATAACATCATCAGTGTTAGTCCTTGTTAGCCACCTTCTTTACACTCTGCCATGTGAGTAAAATTAGCCCAGTTCTCCATCTGGCAAGATCTAGGACAAAAAAGAATCCAATGGGCTACCTTAGCTAGAATAGAAAGAGGTGGCCAGCCGGCTGGTCCAATCACCTAAAATTAGATGATGAAATGCAGATAGCTCAGGATGAAGATTGGGGTATGGATTCAGGGTAGCTGGCTGAAAAAGCAGGGTGCTGCAAAAAATAATCCCTACGTTGTCTTGAGTGTTGTTCCCACCAGACTTTGAGTTAGGAAGAAGCTAATGGCTATGTCCCCATTTCCTTCAGTTTTTCTCTTTACAATAGCTAAAGAGGAAGAGGGGACTTCTACACCAACCATAATCTCTCACCTGCCAGCCCCATCACCTTGCCACAACTTGTGTTGTAGACGTTCCACCTCTACTCAATCTTGCAACTACAGGAATGGTTTCTCCTTCTATATCCTAACATCCTCTAACCAAAGAAAACTTGCACCATAATGACCATTATATACAGCCAACAATCTCTCAAATAGCACCATCAATCCACCCTCCAAATAGAACCTTTCACTCTTGATTTTTAAGAAGCAGGATGAAGGGTTAGGTTTAGGGTATCAATTGTTGCCTAATTTAGATACCACCTCTGTGCAGCTACTAGTCTGGAAGGCATGATAGATAATACAAGAAAAGAACATAAATAAGAGTTTCTAGAATGGGTTTTTTTTTCCTGGTCTCCTCTATAAGTTTGTCTCTGTGCTGGACTGGGTTGTTAGCATACAAGGAGCTTCTTTTCCTGTCCCAGATAAATAATACTACATGAAATAGGGCCAGTTAGGGTCTTGAGATATTTCATTGTAGTTTTCAGTATTTGAAATAAGTGCCTTGCTGCCTGTCCAACCCCTTGGCTCTTTTATTTATGCATGTTGACTTATTAAGTATCATAAAATGAATGCAGGATTGTGCTAGTAAGTACATTGTATTCAGTTGTCCTAAACACTGAAAGTGAAGATGAGAAGCTGTGATGGCAGGGTGTTCTTGTAATGTACTAATGTGGTGGGTGGGGGGGTCATATTTTTTTTAAGAGATGGGGTTTTAAGTGGCTGACATTCCACAAATGTGGAAATTCCAAGGGTGTCTTTTCTTCAGATAATTTCTTTAAGAAATTTTGTCCTGCTGTATATTAATGACACAGCACATGGTAGCCTTTAATGGCCAGACCCTTTTCTTAAGAACCTACATAGAATTGGATTTGCTTATTACATGAATGAGAGACAAGAAACCACAAAAGATGGAAGAACACAATGTCATTCTTACTAAGAAAACAATAAGGATATAATGCTTTTAATTCCAAGAAACTGAGCCCAGTTCAAAGGTCCTTACAAGGGAGGTATTGGTTATATTTTATGCCAATGAAAATATTTGTTTTTCTCCCAGAATACAATCTAACAGAGTTGAAAGAGATCTTGAAGATCTTCTAGTCCAACCCACTGTTCAAGCAAGAGGCCCTATATTATTCTGGGCAAATTGGCTGTCCAATTTCATCATAAAAACCTGTAACAACAGAGAACCCACAATTTTTGGAGGCAAGTCATTCCACTGTTAATTGACAGGAAATTTCTCTTTAGTTCTAGGTTGAATCTCTCTTTAATGAACTTCTTTACCTGTTACTTCTTGTCTACCCCCAGCTGCTTTGAAAAATAGGCTGGCCCCTCTTCTCTGTGACAGAGTCTCAAATATTGTACTCAAATAGCAGAATTAAAATGCTGCTACCATGTCAACCCTAGTCATGGTAAGCTACAATTCAGCGATTACTCATATCTCAATGAAGATAGGTACTACCATTATGAGAAATTTTTTAAAAGAAAAGTTTTAATTACACAAAGACAACAAGGCTAAGGACTAAGAAAACTAGAGTGCTTTTTCCTCTTAATTCTTTCTCGGTTGCTGAGTTGTGATCAAGATCTCTTATTAATATTTGCCCAAAGTCCAGTAGGAGTGAATAGTAACTGAAGATGACTATAAGTACTGATCAGATTCTGAAAGCAAATTCTATGGGTGAATAATTTATACTATTTCTTTCCTACTTTTACAGTAAGTTATTCTATTCCCTTAAACATCGGCTGTGATGCCACAATTACCCATAGTTAATTAAAATATGATTTGCTCAGCCAGAATAATTTTCTTGATTTGTGTAACACTGATTAGTTTTACATAATACACTAGGTTAGCTAGTTGTAATGTACTTTGTGAACCCAGACAATGGACTTATCTACAATTTAGTATGTTGTGCCAAGGCAAACAATGGGATTAAATCAACAATGTGTGTGTTGATGTATATGAGTATAGTCAGTATATATGGCCCTAGCAAGGTTTTGCAATTGACCCAATTGGTCTACCTTGAAGTTCATAGAAGAACAAAGAAAGATTGCAAAATTCAATACTGTCCTTTTCCAAAGTATGCATTCTGGTCTGTAATTTTCCTGTACTTTATGAGGAATAAAAATCCTAACATGGATATTAGGAAATAATTCCCATTGAAATGGGCAAACATAAACAAATGGCTATGATTATTCTAAGGTTATGTTCACATAACTAGAATGGGCTTACATCACATTCTGGTCTAAAAACAAATGATCACATTAAGAATTATCATGTGAGCCAAACCTGATCTTAATGTTGGTGATAAACTGAGGGATACAAGATACAGGTAGACTTGATTACAATTGGGACCAGAATTTATGTTGATAAGTAAGATGGTTATGTGAGTCACACTCAATTTTACAATCATTTTTACCACTATTGTTAAGCAAATCAATGCAATTGTTAAGTGAATCATCATAGATTCAGTTGCCACTTACAACAATGTACAAAAAGCCAGCAGACACAAAAGCTTTGGAATTCTTTGTAACCCTTTCAATAGTCATAAATAGTTGTCACCGGAAGACAGTGCATTTTCTTCTTTGTAATGAAATAATGCCTTGCACCCCTTAGTGTTTATCTCATATTGCATATCTGTGTGCACACATAAGTGTACATGCACTGGGAAACTGCATATCCACTGCTCTGGGTTACACAAGCAGGAGAAACAAAACTTGGAATGGAAGAGTCAGCAACATTCCAAGCAACTACCTAACTTTCTCCCATGGAGATGCAGTGGGGATATTTTCCTGAAATATTTTCCCTAATTGGATCTGACCCATTTTTAAATATAATGATTCTTTCACTGGCTTATCCTTTCCTTCACATGAAATTTGGTCCCAGTTTATTCAATATTTCTAGAGCTAACACACTGATACAACTTCAAGTTTATGTTAATTTCTTCTCAACATCTGAGTTGGAGAAAAAACAATCCCCAACAAAAATTATGCTTTTAATAAGTTTAATTTAGCATTCTTTTCGATATTAAAGATATCACATCAGAGCTGCAAAAGTCCAGCTTACCCTATAATAGCAAAGATCTGTTAGCCTAATTATAGAAAAGATAGAAACTGTTCTGAAGACAGTGAAGTACTAATGTTTATTATACAATCATTGAAAATTTGGATGATCAGGAACAGTCATATTGATGAAATTCTTATTAATCTGTGTGTGATTCACAGATCACCACAATTTCTCCCTTTTATAAAACAACAATTATCCTTAATTTCTTTTTCAGGTCTGAAAAATCATTTAAAGCCATTCTCATTGGCTTTGATTTCATTCTGTTCTACTTTAAGACTCATGATCATCTTCTTCCTGCTTTTTTTTTTTAAAAAAAATTCTCCTTAATCTTCAGGTATTAATGAATGGGCCCAAGCAATGTATCTGCAGTTAAAAGATGACTGCTCATTTCCTGAAGAAAAGAAATGATTGCTTCCAAAAACTCATATACTGGGAATATAATATTATTGTCTAACATTATTTAGAATAAGACAAAGAATGTTTTTTCTTGAGTATAGATAGTCCTCAACCTACAACTATTTGCTTCACAGCCGTTCAAAGTTACAATGGCATTGGACAAAATGACTTATAACCAGTCTTATACTTATAAGTGTTGCAACATTCCCACAGTCACAGGATCCAGATTCAGGTGCCTGGCAACTCGCATGGATTTATGATGAGTGTAGCATTCTGGAGTAATATGAACACCATTTGTGACCTATGGAGGTGACAAAGTCAATAGATAGAAGTTGGATTCACTTAACAACTTCAGTGATTCACTCCAAACTGTGACCAAAAGGTTGTAAAATTGAACACGACTTCTTTAACAACTGCCTTGCTTAGCAATAGAAAATCTAATCTGAAATGTGGGTATAAATCAAGAACTACCTAAAGTCAGGTGAATGAGACCTATTATTTTGATTTGATTATACTGTATATTATTTTATGTTGATGAAACGTTAAAATAATCCCATATATAACTGTTATGTTTTAAATAGAAAAGTAAAGCATCCCTGGTGGTTTTATGGACATTGAAAGCAGTTTTCTGCCAACTACTGCAGAAATATTTCATTACATCTTTTTTTTCAAGGTAATTTTTTTTCCAGTTCTATACCTTTGGTATTTTTTGAAGGATCTTCAGATGGCCAAATATTGGCAAAATCAGCCAGATGATCCCACTAAATTAATTTGGATTTATTTAGATGGGTTTTTTTTAATGAACAAAAACATTTTAAAATATTTGATTTTTCAAAGCAATCATTTGAATATTTGAAGTACCACTATTTACAGTACTTCCTTCTTCCTTGTTTATTTAGGAATATGGTTCTCTTTCACCTTCCAAAATATTAAATTTGAAAGAAAACCATCTACAATTTACTTTACTTTAGTTGGAGAGAAGTTTGATTCCTATGCTTATTCTTCTTGTGGAGTCATACAGAAGCAGGACCTAAGTTCATTGTTTCCTCTGTGTGTGTGTGTGTGTGTGTGTGTGTGTGTGTGTGTGTGTATGTGTGTGTAAAATGACTTGATATACTGCCAGACACACATTGGAAAAATGCAGAATTATTAGAGTTTTTCTTTACTTCTGTTTTATGCTTCTTACAGCTTCACTGATTGCAGGGAGAATAACTGCCATCCTTCCCATTCATGCTCCCCATTAAACATGCCTAGCCCTAGCCTGTCAGAAAACTCCAGATAGTAGGACAAAGGACACTAAGTTCAGAGACGTGGCTGGTCATTTAATTTGGCCAAATGAGGGTACCTATAATATCCAGGGTTTTTTTTTTCTATTCTGTTTTCTCCAGGTATTGCCACTTCCACTATACAGATTTCTCTGTCATTCTTATTGTTAAGTCTGGGGTGTTATGTGGCAAGTTTGAATTCTAAAATTCAATTCTAAAACCTTATTTTTAGAATTAGTCTGTTATCTATTTTATGGTCCCACCTGTTCTTGCTCACAGGCAAATGGTTATTTCTTGCAGATGTACTGTGCTACTTTGTCATGCCATTGTTTGCAGTTGGTCTGTCTAAAAATCTTGCAGCCTCTTACCAAGCGGTCCACTGTTTCTTTAGCTTCTTTGCAGAGCATTTGCTGCCTACTGCTCTTTTCTCAATAGATTTGCATGCATTTGTTCCTAAGGCTTGTTCTTATGCAGCCAGGATTAACCTCTCTGAGTCTTCTTTCAATTTTCCTACTTTTAGCCATTTCTAGATCTGCTTTGCCTGCTGTTATTTTAAAACGTTCTGACCATGTAATGCAAAGGCAATTTTCCAAAAAGCAAGTGGACTTTCTTCTTTTTCTTTGAAAATGTTTAGCTTCTCATCTAAGAAGCTTTTTCAGTTCTGATACATTGTCATTATTTTTCTGGTCTTTCTATACAGGACTTTTAATTCTATTCCAACAGTGTATCTAATGGCTAGAATTGCCCAGGTATTAATTGCCATGGTGGCATATTCTCCATTGAGTTTGAACTTTAAGATTTTTCCCCCTGTCTTGATGTATTCAATTCTAACTTTTTTTATTTGTCAAAGTAGTGCTTCCTTGGGGGATTATTACTATTATTATTTTTATATGCCACCTCTCTCAGAAATAAAGTGACCCTGGCTAAGACTTACAAATAGTAAAAACTTAAAAGTAGTTAAAATTTTAAAAAGCTATATAAAAAGTTAGGACCAAGGCAACAAACTGCACAACCACTTCCAGAAGTGATTGCTCCCTCAGGGCCTAAGGCCAACCCTCAAAACCAGGTTTTTATACCTTTTTCATAGGAAAGTGGCAAATACCAGCAACTTAATTAAACTAAAATCTCAAGATATGAAAATCCCTCACACCTACAATAGGTTTCCCCTATTTCACACCCATTACCCAAGATCACCATCTGGGAATCACAAAGAATAAAGATTGTAAAACTTCCACAGGGTGGAAATTCTCATTTCCTCTTAGCATACTTTTTGAGAGACAAGGTATATCTGTGCACTTTCTTTCTAAAGCAAAAGATGGGCCTCTCTATAGTGTAACTAAAATTTTATTTTAATTTATGCCCACCCTCTACTTCCAATTGTCTGTTTTACTGTCACATAAACTTCACTTCCATTTCAGTTATCCTGTGGTCTTTGAAAACCTGTCTTGGAATGGACCAGAATTTCTTCTAACACTGAGAAACCAAAATATAGATGGGCAAAGCAAGACTTCTTTCAGAGGTAACAGAACATCCCTTCACTCAAGAAACAGTTCAGTGCCACTATACGTACAGCCATGATCTTTTTTAGGCCACTTTAAATAAGTCATACATCTAAAGAACAGGTGACTTAAGGACCTTGTGCACTTTCTCAAGTCCAAAATATCCAAACTGATCCTAGATAATGGGGAAAGACTCTTCCCCAGGCAACTTTTCTAGACTTGCAACAAGATCAGCATCCAACTATGAGTTAATTTAAGTTATTTTGTCCAATGGATGTTGAACAAACTCTTTCATATTCCTGCTAGAAGTTCTCCTGAATCTCTCTACTCTACAAAGAGGTCAAATCACATCTGAAATAGGGTAGCAGGAAATCAATCCACTTCTCTGCAATAATGGCAAAGAAGTACTGCTGCTTTGTCACCCTTATCACCACAAGGTAGGCCTTAATAGCAGCTGTAACTCATGTGCAATCAAGTTTGTCCATCATTGAGCACAATGGATGCTCTAGATGTCTCTCCTTTCTTTTCATCTCCCTTAGTCCTCCAGGAACCATGGGGAAGAATGATCTCCAAGAGAGGGGACAGGTCCGAAGGGCATGATCTGATCTAAAGCCTTGGCTGCCTCCCTATTCTAAGCAATGACCAATGTTTCAGATGGACAGCCAGCAGATTAGCTGGAACAACCTTCAACTCCTTCTGAAACCCATCTACAACTATCAGTCACTGAGAAGTGGACCAATATAATGGGTACAGCCTCCCTGCAGTTGGCAGAGAAGCCCATGGTAATCATGGCATGATATGTCAAGTGGGACACTGATTGGTCCCACAGTTTCAGATCATATAGAAACTGATTCAACTGGAACATCAAATCAGGCATGGAGCTACTGTCCCTTCTTGGATTCTGGATGATCTGGGATAAGCCTATGGCCATCATAGTGACCATCAACTCCTGAGCCATCTCAGACCCTAGTCCTAGAGGAGGCAAAATGGAACTGTCTCAAGAGTACAAGTCTGGGGAACTCCATCTCCAATTCCAACATGGAATCAAGGAACTCAGCCATGGTGATTGCTGTGTAGTAGGGAGGCTGGATTGATTAGAAACAGTTCAATAACTTCAACTGATCCCTAGAATCCAACTTAACGAACAGATTTCACATCTGGCAACCTATGGAGAAGCATTCCCAAAAGCTGTAAAGGATTACTGGATGACAATTGTCATGCCACCACTCCTCCCTTTGGATCTTGACTGATGCCATATGCAAAAGCCATATAGCAATATCTCCAAAAGAACTATCTCCCTTTTTAGAAGGTGGATGTAAAAGAGAAAGATTACTTCCAGGTATTGTTTGCCCCTTCATGTGATATTCAATTGTTAAGAATCCTGGGAGTTGAAGTCCACATGACTGGAAGTTGCCAAGACAGGAAAACACTGGGTTATTGTATCCCCATCCGATATAATGAGCTACTGTTCTATTTTTTTAAATCTATCAGTCATCACTGAGAATTATAAATGAAATTTATATGAATTTAGCAATTTCATACTACTGAATGCAGAGATGAACTGAAGCACACAGGGACATCAAATCTGGGTTCGAAAAATTTATATATTAGGAAAAGTATAAAAATAAATGTTAGGATATGTATTGTGCAATGTAGGAAAAGTAGCTACAAAATACATATAACAGGCTGAATGCACATGAAAAATATATATTTTAGAGTGATTGTTCATAAAATGTGAATCCAGTGTATTTTAGGTCGACCAATAACCCTGCAAGCAAATATATTATATACTACATGATAAAACTACTTGTATATTCTTGCATATGGTTGCAATATCCAGAAGGTTATTGTTAGTTTGTTCAGGAAACACATGGAATCTTGTGGCAATAAAACACCAACTCATTATGGTAAATACCTTTTTAGAACTAGAATATAAAACACTAACTCATTATGGTAAATACCTTTTTAGAACTAGAATTCACAGTCATATTTTAGAAGTTTTATTATCTAGATAGAAGTATAAAAGACAAGAAATGATGAATCTAAAATGCATCAGGTACAATGTATGACAATTCAATTTTAAATGCTTGCAAAACAAGCATCTTGATAGTAGCAATTGATTATAATACAATTATTTTCAATATTTTCCACAACTTCAGGATTAACTCCAGACCTTCTCCCCACAATTCCAAATAAGCAGAAAGGAGGATGATTATGGGTGTTTCAGATTGATTTGTGAGGAAATACAAATGCTGCTAGTATGGAAATCCCATAGCTAAGTCATATTTTTACTCAGAGCAAGAAATTAATAAATTGAGTTTTTGTCCAAGAATGCACTATTTGAGAAAAGCAAATTACAGAAGGACAACAGAGTGCAAGAATCTGAATGTTCTCCTAGTAGCTTTTGAATGCTGACAATATTACTGATTCTAGCTCTTAAATTAAGCCAGCGAGCCACAACCCAAAGGCTACCAAGCTACAAAAATATTGTGGAGAGACTCTTCAGCAAGTCCAGATGCAAACCTTCTGCCTAATATATCTTGGCAAATGTACATCTTCCAGTAAGGTATGTGCTGTGGTGACCACCAATGCTCTTCTATTTTTGCCAAAAATATTGGTCTGTTTGGAAAATAATACATGAATTACATACCTTTGGTCATTTATCTGCTGAACTGGAAGCTGCAATTCTTCAGCAAAAGACCTTGAAAATGAAATTCCATTCTTAACATACTTTGCATAGGAAATAGTGACGAAGATTGATGGTCCCACTATTATAGGTATCATTTATTCAGCTACACTTAGATGACTAAATATCACCAATTAATACTCAGTGTACTTTTGAATACATGCAAGAAGTGATGATGGCAAATAAGGTGTTGGATTGGCACAAGGAAGGCCTAAATTCAAGTCTATCCTCAGCCACTCATTGAACAAGTCAAAGGCCAGCCAACCTTACAGATTTATTTTCGGGGAAATAGGAGTGCTTATGGTTTATTGGTTTTATTCATTCTTTAGATTTTATCCTGTCTTTATTACTTTATAAGTAACTCAAGGTGGCAAACTTACATAACACTTGTTTTCCTCCTATTTTGCCACAACTCTATGAGGTTGGTTAGTGTTAGACTAAGAGAGAGTGACTGACCCAGCTTTCATGCCTAAGGTGAAACTAGAACTCACATTCTACTAGTTTTTAGTTTGATGCTGTAACCACTAGATTAGATGAGTTCCCCATAACAGCTATATGGCAGCTATTTAAGGCAGCCAGGCAACTATGGTTGCTATCTTGAGCTCCATAAGAAAAGGTGGGATATCAATCTAGAATTTATATTCTCTATATTTATTAAAATAATTACTGAACTACATTTACATTTCATTGCTGTACTATGTGACCTTCTATCTCACATGCTTCAGACATTTGTGGATTCTAATCAATAAAATGTTGTGCTAATATTTGTCACTTTGTATTTAAATACACTTTTTCCATCGTGAAAAGAAAGTGGTAAATTACTTGAAATTCACACACACACACACACACACACACACACACACACAAAGGCTGCTATGAAATGTAGTACAATTGAAAACCATTCTCACTGAGGTTTCAACAAAAATTTGCAAGCAAATGCACCATAAGCATTAAGTTATGGGGTGAATCTGATATTTTAAAGCATCTTTCTCTCATCCATTCCTTTCACAATGTTAAAATCTTTGAAAACTGATCTTTGATTAAGTTTGGAGGCACACTTAAATATAGTACCTTTAGATGATCACCCATTAACAATCAGAGTGTATTTGAATATATGTAAGAGTTAGAGGAAGGTGGAAAATAAAATACTAAATTAGGCATTCTTTTTCAGGGAAGTTTGCTTCTACGCTTTTTATCAAAGTTGGTTTGAGGAGCCATTCAGTTCTGCTTTTTTCTTAGCTTAGGGACATAGGAACTCTGAAAAGTAATTGAGAAGACCCCGCAACTCTAAGACGTCGTGTTACTTTCTGAATTGTTAAGCTCCAGCGGAGCGCTCTTGGCTATATTTTTAATGCTGCGTGTGGGGGGAGCGGGTTACGCAAATACACCTGGTTTGCCTCGCCCTGTCAAACAGATTGGCTGAAGATACGTGTAATGTCCGGCAAACAATAAATGGGTATATAATTTGCCTTGCGGTTTTCTGCCTTTCCCCCTCCCGGAAGAGAAGTTCTTGCTCTATACTGGAAAAAGGTTTATATTAAATATATATATAAACTAATTGTCTCCCCACCTCCCCCTTTCAGCAGCACATAAAAGCACCTATCGTGCGGCTGACAGCTAGAGCAGACCTGGGTGCAGCTGGCACTCCTGTAAATTGCCTAGGGCAGCGGGGCAATGTAAATGCTTTGTTTGCTTTAAAAAAAAAAAGAGTAAAATAACTTCTTTATTTAAGAAGTTTTGATCCCTGTGTTTTTCTTCCGTGTTAAAAGCAGCGCCTTTTCCTAGCAGCCTTAGGCTTACTCGCTGTGAGGCAAGCACGTTTAAAGAATTTAGAAACAGAGTTAGGACTCCCTCGGGCAGGGAGAGGTGACTTCCGTTTGGGAAATGTAGGAAGACAAGGTGCTGTGCAGTTTTGCCAAGGTGTTGCATTGGTGGAAAGAGAGGAGGGAATTACAGTATTTTTGGATTCGAATTTCGAAGCCAACCGGCCGTGAACTACCCACCGAAAAGCAGTCCTCATTTGTAGAAAGGCGGAAGACACAGCGCTGCGCGCTGGGCAGCATACCTGAGAAGGGCAATTTGGACCTCTTATTGGACTTAAGAGTCGAGCAAAGCTTCCCCTGATCGATGGCTTCTCCCCGCCTCCCCTCTCCCCGCTTCAGGTTGCAATCGGCCTGGGCCGGTTCAAACTGTGTGCCAAAAGCGTATGCAGCAGGCAAGACTTCCGTGTCACATGCCTGGCAGGATCGGGCAGAAAAGTTTTCAAATTCCTGAGCTTCTCCAAAGGAGCATCCGGTCCCCTCGCCAACCTGGCCCGGACCTTGCGCTCCCCCGTCGCCTGAGAAGGAAATGCCGGTCACGGGGAGGGGGCGGGAATCTTGATTTATTTCCCTGTCCTTGGACAACTTGTATATATGGGTGTCCTCCTCCCCTCTTTCCTCAATGCTTCAGACACGGGTGCATGCGTGCGCGCCCGAAGGAGGCAGCGGCAAGCGCCTCTGCTCTCCTCCGCCCTCTCCTAAGCGCTAAGGCTTTGCAAAGGAGGAGGAAGAGGAAGATGACGAGCCAATGCAATTAGCCTAACAAGGGACGGGCGGCAGCGGGAGCAGGCGGCGGCGGCGGCGGCTTTTGCCCGGCCACTGACACATCCCTCACCCCACCCCTTTCCCTCCTTTCCTTTTTCTTCTCGCCGGGGCGACCGGTGGAGAAAAGTCCAGCGGGATCTTACACTGCGCTCTCCCCCTTTTCTCTCTCTCTCTCTCTCTCGCAGGGCTTTTTGGACAAGGAAGATCCCTTTCCTTCTGGACCCCATTGTGGAGGCGAGGCTTGCTTAGAATTTGCGTGCTGGACAGCGCTCTTTTAAAAACATTTTTTCTTTTGCTCTTTCCCAAAAGTCAGAGACGGGTCTTTTTCCAGCTTGAGCGCTATCTTTCTTTCAGGTGGGAGTGGCTGCACCCCTTTTCCTTGGTGCATGTGGACAGCCGTGTTTTTCTTTTGCTTTTGCCTCCAGCCCCACATCCTCCCTCGGGAGCCTATTTTTGCCGCCCGACAACGATCCCCCCCCCCACATCCCCACCAACCCCGCATCCACAAACACCCCATGTTGACTCCCCTCCCTCTTTTTCTTATCCCATTGTAACTGGAGTCTGAAATAATGGCGAGCCGTTGGGCAGTGGGGCAACTCTGGTGGAAAAGAGACTCCTCGGCAGCCGAAGTCCACGAGAAATGCAGCCAGGTAAGACCCCGGAGGGCGTGGGGGTGGGGCTGGACCCGATCCCAGCCGTGGGGCGACGGGCAAAGGCTGGGGCGAACGCCACCACGGTGTTTATGAGGGAAGCCGCGGTGGGGGCGGTTCGGTTGCAGCAGCCGCGCGCGGGGAAAGGCTCGGATTGGAGCGGCTTTAATGGCCGCCCCATCCCTGTGGGCCTGCCTGCTTCCTGCCTTCCCGTCCCGGAGTCGTTGGAGCGGCGTGTGTTGCTCTCGGCCGCCCGACCCTCGAATGAGGCGGGGAGGGAAAAGGGGCGGGAAAAAGAGGTGGCGGCGGGGGGAAGTTTGTAGCCGAGACGCGGCTCCGCTCCCCTTTCCTCCCGCTTTTGGAGGCTGGATGGGTTCCTGGTCCTGACAGGACGCAGAGGCCCGGGGCAAGAGATCGGCTCTACTTTTTCCTCGCCCTTCTTTCCCCGTTTACTCCTTTGGGCGGCGGGGGTTGTTTGGGATGCCATAGCGGGACCTCCCCTTGTTGATAAAGGGAGGGAGATCTGGCTTCTTCCAGCCCTTCGCCTGCCCCCTCTGGAAAACCCTTTTAGAAAAGGCAGCCCCCAGACTTTCCTTTCTCTGCCTCCCCCCCCCCCCTTTCTCTTTGTCCCATTGATCTGATAGGAGGGAGAGAGGGGGCGGTGCAGTCTTTCCCAGGTCCCCCCCCCTTTCTCTCTCTCGTGAAGCCCTTGAATGACACTGTTCTATTTTTCCCTCCCTCTGGTGCCTCTGTGTGTGTACAGTACACACATATTTCCTTCCCTTCTTTTTCACGAGAGCCTACTCCAACAGCTTCCCGGGGCTCTCCCACCCATCCCGGCTCTGCTGCTGGGATACTAGTCCATGGATCTCACATTGGAAAAGGTGTGTATTTTTCTTGGGCTTAACCGTGGAATTGCCACTTTGCAAATTAAGCAGGCTTGTCCTTAGAAAGCCAACGATTTCAATTCAACCCTGCATCCCAGTGGCACATAAAAACATTAGATCTTTGCCAGCCGTAAGTATCAAAAGTGACTCTTTTTTACTTAGAAATGCTAGGAAGAGTGCATTTTGGATCGGCATGCCAGAGTATTGTGCGGGTGTCTCAGTGGATGCGGAGTGTGAAAGCATATGGTGTATGAATGTTTAATTTTCTACATGTAAAGCTTTGAGCTTTGCTTATAAATTGTGTGTATTTGTTAGTATTAGGGAAGCCGGTGGAGCTTATTTATTTTGAATGTCTTCTTGAGAAATGTAATTTACACTTTTTAAATATAGAGTTAATTTAGAAAGGTAGCTTTAAAACAGCTTCTACTGTTTTGTCCTTGGTTTACCTTGTGCTTTAATGTAAAAGAACCAAAAGGTGTTATGGTATTGTAAGCTCATTCTTAAAAGAATTGCTTTTACTATAATACCTGGGCTGGGTAAGTGCTATATAGAAAATTATTACCAGGAACTGTCATTGTTTATATTTAAGGCTTTGCATTTCAAATGCTTTTTGTTTTTGTTTTTCTTTCTTTTCTTTTCTTTTTTTGGCAACAGGGTAATGGATTCTTAGTTCTCCAGCCCCATGTTATTTATGTCCGAAAATATTATTATTAGGAAATGAAAGGGAAAAAAGGACTGCTTGATTGAGATTTTATTTCTCAATAACTCTTCCACTAAGTAGAAGTTGTGGACCATTACTTAAATAATCCATCTATCATTACTATGGTAAACCATAATTAATCCCTTGCAGTTGAGGCATACAAAATAAGTAAAGTGATAACAATTAATTGAACTAGCTTCTGTTTTTTAAAAGGCAACTTCAAGTTTAATGGAAATTAATGGAATGCTTTTTTTTTGTCCTTTTTGGAACTGAACGTCAGTCCATATATTCTATTTGGGGGACAGGGATGAATATATTCTATCCTGAAATATTGTGTTGTTTATTACAGTAACAATAATAATTTCTACCGACTTGTGCTGTTCTCCAGCACCGACTGAGTTCTATACCTTTCCACAGAATTCCATTAGATCTGTATCCTGCAGTGTAGTCTTTATTTGGAATATTTGTTCAGGATAAGGAAAAAAATTAATCTATAACCTTATTTCTGACCATATATTTGATAAAAATAATAGTCCTTTTTTTAAAAAAAAAATCCCAGATTTGGTTCAGGAAATCACTTTTAGCAGTTCTGTACCTACAGTTAAAAATGAATCTCTTTGAAATGAAATGTAACTTTTTTTTACTAGAATACTATAAGTGTTAATTGTGGCATAGCTGAAGATGATGTATAATTGACATCCAAAATAACTGAAGTGATCTGTGGAGACAGTTCTAACAATTTTACATTATAGTTGAATATATGGTTTTGGTGATATATAAATGACTAATACTTTTGGAATGCATTTTGAATGAATGAGCTTTAGCAACTCTATAGTGATGATAGAGTAAAGTAGAGACCCAGTGCATAATTTGAAATAATATGTTTTAATTTTGTTTTATTTCATTGATTCATTAATGCTAACTGGTTCTGGTTTTGTTTTCTCCTTTAGAAGTGAATACTGAATCATAAGTAGTTCCACCTAGAGAAAGGAAAACGAGGGTCCTCTCAGTCCATGCAGTTGTTCTAGGGATGAACAATAATGAGTTGATAATTAGGCAGGATGATACCTGAACTGGTTTTATTTTGATGATAATACATTTCAACAAATAGGATACTATGGTTTTGCTGCCTTTACACCTTAGAGTCACTTGTTGAATATGAACAGGTAGCAAAAGACATATTTCAGTTTAGAGATTTGTTTGTGCAGAAAATAAAATTTGAAAGATCCAAAAGGAAATATTATCATTTTTTCCACTTATATTGAAGAAGATAACACTTACTATAATACATATTTAAAAGCTAATTATAACTTTTTTTCTACTAGAAATAACTGTACTAGCTTCGACCAATTTAAAATGAAATGAGAAATTGTTCATGCCTTTACGTTGTCTTATTAACCTTTAGTTGAAAAGTTTATAATGCAAAATATTAATAGGACTCCATCTAACATTTCCTAATATTGACTTTGTCCTTTATATGGTATGTGTGTTTTGTTTTTTTGAAAAAAATTCTGGCATGTGTCCACAATTTAAAGAAGTGTACTTACACATATATCAATATGCATCAAATAGATAGCACAAAAGTACTTCTGAGTATTGTTATACAAATATGCAAATTTATAGTCATAATTATTTAGTTGGCTCAGAGTGTAGCAGCTTCTTAAAACATTATGAATCAACAATATTTTATGAATATAACTGCCATAAATTTTAATTCTTGTCTTCAAACACAATCCCATAATAATATGCAATAAGATACATATGATGAGAATAAGTTTTAAGAAAGGAATTTCAGTGCACCTGAACAAAATAATAGTGTTATTGAAATAATATCTATTATCAGTGTTCAATTTATTAAGAAATTAATGATACAATAAAATCAAATTGTATTCATGGAGTTTTGCCCTTGTTTTGTAGGGATTGTTGCTTCAAATATAGGATTTATGAATGTCTTTAGGAATTGCTGTCTTCTTTTTGTGCCATATCTGTCATTGGACATTGGTGATCAAGTTGGCGATTCTATTTTTATCAACAACCACAGGAAAAAATACTGTTTTGTCCAAATCAGTCCCTTAGATTTTGAAGTCATGATGTCCTTCTTCTGCCTAGATCTTGTTTGCCTTCAATCTTTCCTTGCTATGGGGTCTTTTATTCCAGTGTTGAATGTATCTTACAATATGGGGAATTATGTGTTAATTCTTTTTCATTTCAATAATATACTCTAATGTAACTCTGTTTGTGTGCGTGTGTGTGTGTGTATGTGATATTTATATCTGCATACACATATACTCAAACATATATTGTATATACTTAAATACACACACAACTAAAGAATTTCAAATTGATCATATGTGTATTTACTCAGAATTTGTTCTCTCTCTGGATTTGGTAAGGTACATGTTCATAAATGGATTGCAATCTTATTAATAGAGAGAGCAGAGGAAGAGAGCTTGAACATGGTTGTTTCTAATTTGGGAGTATTAAAAGATCATTCAAGTGAGTTTGTATTTCTAAAGTCTCATCAAGGCTGGTCTCAATTATTTTTTTAAGCTGCAACTTGAAAAAAGTCAAAATGATAATAGGGTTGGGCCCCCCCAACTTAAAAACCCTATTCTTTGTTCCCAGGTCAACTACTGGTAAAGCAACTTGTGTCCTGGATTTATTTCTGAATGAAGCATGAAGGTGGCATGTACCATGAAGACCTGAGTGAGATGATGGGGATGGGATGGAGTTAGTCTTTTGTAGCTGTTCTCTCCAGGTTATTCCATGGTATAGGTAAATTAGGAATTAAAATCAGACAGGTTTCATGTTTCTGAACAGATGTGACATCTGACAGTTTGCCAATTTTGGATGGATGGTGCTATTTTCTGATACCATCTGGATGTAGAGATGCTGTATAACGTCTCTTTTTGAGCAAGCTAAGATGGTCTTTATAGCGATCTTGCCCAGTCAGGAGCAGTCAGGATTTCTTGTCCTTAGCAGCTCCTGACTGTGCAAGTTCACTATAAAGATGAACGCCCTCTCTGAGAGCCACAGTATTAGTACAAGTATATGTGTGTGTGTGTGTGTGTGTGTGTTTGTATACACACACACATATATATACACACACACTTTATATCTATCTATAAATCTAAAGATGGTAGATTTCTGTGTGATTGTTGTCATGGTTACCCAGTTTCCTAGGTCAATTTTATATTGTTGGTATAAAAACCTGTAATGGTAGGTACTCGCTAAAATGGTTTTTAATGGAAGCAGATAATTTTGTTAATGTGCTTAAGGAATTTCCCATATTATTTGTGTGACATGCTGTCTTTGTTTGGCTGGTCTGTGGAATATATAGGAATTTGGTGGGGCGGGGGGAGACTCAACCTTGCGTCAACTGATTCACAATTTTGTATTAGTTTATAGGTTAC